GCGTGCCAAGTAGTCATTGACTGTTACCGCATGAACTCCTTTCCCAGTCAACGCATTCAAATAAGCAGGTAATATGGCAACAAGAGTCTTTCCTTCACCAGTCCTCATTTCAGCTATTTCTCCCTTATGGAGAACCATACCACCTATACAAAAAATAAAATGCAAAAAGGTGATATCATTTGCATGATTATGAAATAATTGCTTCATTCTGTATAAGTGGGTTTCTTATATAACTGATGATGAACTAAAAAAACCGTGAACAAGAAAATACCATTTATACTACTACTAAATAAGGGAGAGTAAGCTAGCTGACGTCTTGATGAAACCTTGTCAGATTTTTCTTTCCATAATAAACATCTAACTGGCCCAAATTGCAAAGAGAAGTTTAATAGGTCACTTCAAGAAATAGGAGTTTATGTGTAATCACACTCAGTTACTCTTATTTTCCACCATACCATATTCTTAGTTTTTTCACAGATATAAATCATGTGGAAACAAAAGTCTGTTACCTCCAAATAGTGCAACACTTAGCAAAATCTGTTTGATGGTATGGTGAACATGTTCACTTTTAGTTATATGGTAGGGCAAAATTCTGTTATCCAAATTAATATGATTATATATCATTAAGTCATTTCTACCTATAAGTTGCACATCAAAAGGACGAAGGCCTAGAACCCTTTTCGAAGCCTCCCTGACTACAGCAAATGCTTCCTGCAAACAAATTGTACTTCAGTCACTGAACAAAACTCATTCCAATTTGCTCACTTATCCAAAAAAATAAAGAGCTAATTCCAATTTTCAGTAAAAGAAACTATGGAAACAATAATCAAAGATAACATTTTTATGAAGCAATATTGTTGAGTCATATGACCATCTCATCTAAAAGCTTTAAGTTATTAGGGATTACACTTTTATTTACTTAATTATGTATGTGTTCATACTTCTGGACGATGAACATAGCACCAGCTTTAGATAAGATTAGCAAAACGGAAGTACAAAATATAACTGGAGTGTTGGTTCAATTAGCTCACGGGTAAAAGGGAGTCCAAGGAATCTCCGCGGCGAGCGCGTTCTTGTAGAGTAACTGTTTTCTCCCTCAACTGAGAATCGGATAAAGAAGACAATTGTGATTCCATCCCATTAATAAGTGCGACTGTGGAAGCATACATCTGCCTTGTTGACTCGCCTGAATCGGAAGACTTAAAAATGCCTCCCAACAAGCCTCCCAAAGATGCTACTGGACTTGTCACTCTCCTCCTCCTACTCCTCCGACTTTGTTTCTGCCTAAAATTAAGCAAGCACAAGGATTGAGATTGCGATTGCTCTCCTCCACGTAGCCAGCTGCGGGTATTAACTAGACCTCCGACCTTGTCATCGGCAGTGCCACAGCGGTTGAATAGGGAGGGGGGCCGGCGGTTAATGGCGGCGGCTGACCACTCAATGGCCGCCGGTGAAACCACCAGCTCCATTAGTCCGGTGAGAAATGTAACTTACAGAGGCAGCAAAGCTTCTCTCGTCGAGTGTGCTGACTTGGAATTTCAGCAGGGGTTGAGGATCGATGAGAAGATAACCGATAAGGCACCAATGCTGTACTTATAGTGCTAACTGCTATCAAACAAACCAAAAGCTTTTGATTAACGAATACATTTTAATCCACAACAACAACAAAAAACGAATACATTTTAATTTCAACGGAAAAAAATGTATTTTAATTTCCAAAAATAAGATTAAATTATTATCGAAAATCAAAAACCAATCTAATGTTTTAAGAAAACGGATTTGAATATTATCCTAATTATTCTTTATATATATTTTCTTTTTTGCAAAAACAAAACCAAACACACGTTTCCTCAAAAACAAAATCCTTTTTTTCAAGGTATAATACATAATTACTTCATGTCCTACTTATCCCGATGCAACTTTGTGGGGGTCATTATGTAATAAATATTAACTGCATTTCAATTTATGTGAACCCATTTGAATCCATTTGAATGAGCACGTAGTTTAAGAAAAAAGAGAAGATTTTTGAATTTGTGATATAAAATGAGGCACATATATTTTGTGTGGCTATAAATCATTGCATAAAGTTAAATTGTTGCCAAATAAGAATTTTTGGCACGAACTAAAAAAGGAAATAGGTTCACATAAATTGAAACGGAATAAAGTACAACCATCCGTTTCAAGGAAATTATTGAATGACACGCACCAACGAGCTAGTGCCATGTCATTTCTTTTATATTATTTTTATTTTTGTTCATTATTTGATATTTATCTTTTTGCTTTTTGGGGACACCTTCTTATCCGATGAGCTCAAACTTGCTGGAGATTTCCTCCGGCAGAACTCCATCTTTTCTAACTCAAGATTTCTTAGAATAAAAATAGAAATCAATCAAAGCCCATCAAAAGTATTCTAAAACATCACCAAAATACAGAAAAACTCAAGAATTGAAATCAAATTTGACACCAACTTAGAATCACATTTTCTGGTAGAACAAGAAAGGTTTTTTGACTAGTGAACTTTCATTGTTAATCTTTTCCGGATCTCTCTATTGTTCTTGTCAGAATTTTTGAGTTTTCGTAGAACAAACCCTACTTTTACTAAAATTCGAGGATTAGTCAAGGATATTTCATCCATTCAACGATAAATTCCCACCAATCCCACCTCAATTTCACATCTTCTAAAACGGATGAAAAGTTTTTAATCCAAAAAAATAAACTTTGAGTCATGGTGGACCCATTTTATATATTGGATCTTCAAAGTTGTTACGAAAAAAGAATAAGAGCCCGTTTGGATGAGCTGATTATAGATAGCTAATAAACTTTGAGGTGCTGAAAAGCATTTTTAAGTATTGAAAACTGATTTTTTAAATAAGCATTTACGTGTTTTGATAGATGTGCTGAAACTAATAATAAGTAATTGATGTGTTTGGTAGAAAAGTACTTATATGCTGTTATTTTGTTAAAATGACAAAAATATCCTTAAAAACTTTACAAAAGATTATAAATTAAAAAAGTGTCTTTGTAAAGAAAAGGATGAACAACAAATATGTAATGAAGGGAAAGTTAGAAAATTTATTTTGGGAAAAGTATTTTGTGAATTAAAAAATATTATTAAGGATAAATTAGTGAAAGTTTTGGTCAAACTAAAACATATAAGCTAAAAAGTCATAAGGTGGGGGTGACCAACTTATGACTTATGGCTGATTTTAGCTTATAAGTACTTAGCTTATAAGCACTTTGGATATTTACCAAACGCGTAGATAAACCAAAATGTACTTATAAGCCAGTTTGACCAACTTATAAGTTTAGCCAAACACCCTCTAAGAAAGAAAGAAAAGAGAAATAAAAAAGATAAAAAAGGGAGAAGGAGCTATTGTGAAGGTTTGCGGATGGATGTGGTTACAATGAGGGAAATGGCGGATAGCAGAAGAAGAAACAAAAAAGAGAAAGAAAAGAAAGGGAGTAAGAGATAGAGAAAAAGAAAAGAAAAAGAAAAACTATAATAAAAATGATACTTTTGAGGTTTTTACGTGATGTCATCACGTACAAAACACACCAAGCGCCATGTCAGCTAAAAAGGTGATATTTATTACAGTACAAATAAAGTCAGGGGGTCATAGGACCTCCACAAAATATAAGGATACATCTAGTAAAGTGGGACAACCACAGTAGGGTAATTATGTATTATCTCGTTTTTCAAATAACTTATCCAAGAGCAAACCAAAAGGAGTATTTACCGCAACGTTTTTGGCACGGAAAATGTATTTTTTTAATCTACATTTATTTGTATTGGGGACTTGATTCCGGTGTTTTGTGTGACAAGAGTGTGCCACCAAAACTTAAAGATAAGTTCTACAGAGAGGTAGTTAGATCGACTATGTTATATAGGGCTCAGTGTTGGCTAGTTAAGAGCTCACATATCCAGAAGATGAAGTTAGCTGAAATGAGTATGTTGAGATGGATGTGCGGGCATACCAAGATTGATAGAATTAGGAATGAAGCTATCCGGGACAAGGTAGGTGTAGCCCCGGTGGAGAACAAGATGCAAGAAGCTAGACTTAGAAGGTTCGGACACGTGAAGAGGAGAGACACAAACGCACCAGTGAGCAGGTGTAAGAGGTTGACCTTGGAGGGCCTAAGAAGAGGTAGGGTAGGCCGAAGAAATAGTGATGTGAGGTGATTAAGACATGGAGATGCTACAGATTACCGAGGACATGACCCTTGATAGGAAGGTGTGGAGGTCGGGGATTATGCTAGAAGGTTAGGTGGTAGAGTAGTTTTTCTTGTTCTTACTAGTAGCATTAGTACATACTCTCGTATTATTTTTAGTCATAGGTTTCTATTATTGCTTGTTGTTGCTTTTATTTTGGTCATCTTGCTATCTTGTTGTTTTAATGCTTCTTTTCTATGGCTCCTCATTGTCTTGTTGTCTTCTTTTCATTACTGTTATGCTTATGCATCACTGACCCGAGGGTCTAATGGAAACAACTTCTCAATCTCCATGAGATAGGAGTAACGTCTGCATACACACTACCCTCCTCATATCATTATGTGAGATTACAGTGAGTTTGTTGTTGCACATTTATTTGTATTGTTTCTATTTTAAGTTGTCCCAAAATTATGTGCACTTATAGCACACTTCCATTCAATACTGTCCTAGTGGTACTTGAAAAAAAAAACACTTTTTTTATTTTTCTATTTTGCCAACTGAAAGGTACTTGTCGAGCAACCTGATTAGCTTGCGGTGAAAGAACAATTCCTAATATCAATCAAATCAATCAACTATGCAACAATATCCATTTAGCCATTCTGCCATATTCACCTTTCCTTGAGGCGAAGGTATATTTAAAATAAACTCTCTATCTTCACAATATAGAGATAAAGTCCTTCATTCTCCTATATACCATTACCAACCCATTTCATAAAGAACAAGTCTTGAACTGAAGCTTAAAGTAGTTTAGAAGCTCAACTTGCAAATTAGACCAAGGCAAACACTTTTATGGACTTTAAAAAATGCTTCATTGATGTCTATAGAGAATTGACCAATTCATAACATCGACTGTGTAATAACTGCTAAGCAAGTCGCAAGCTTGATCTATGTCGTTACAAATCACTCAAAATTCATATCCTTTTGCTTCCCTATACGGAAAAAGAATCTCAAGTAGATGTAATAGGAAATTTTTATTTCAAAAGAATTCAGTCCCTTAGACTCCACCATACAGAAAGCAATCACAATGGAAGAGTTCATTTCCTGGCATGATAGCCAGGAATCAGCAGAAAATTAAGAGATGGAGGCTGTCATCCACGACCCAACAAAGTGTCTATACCATTAAACTCGATGGTACATCCGAATGCAACTCCCTGGAACTTGCTCCTTGAAGATTTGCCGATGAACGTTTATTAGGACTCTTAACTTGGCTCAGGTGGCAAGACTTTCAAACTCCGCATCCATTCGCAGAAACTAGGATCATCGAAGTAAAGGAAACTGCTTTTCAACTTCGTTCTCTGTTCAGCAGTCAACGTCCGTAGCTGTGGAAATCTTGCTTCCTGCAATGTCAATTGAGCAAAGTTACAATTTTGAATGCCCTTTAATGAGACAGATTCTATCAGAACTGAAAATTCTAACAAAGCAAAACTCGCAACGTCAATAAAGCAAGAAGCAGCAGTCAAGTTTCACTTTCGTCACCTTTGATCCCTCACACTTTTTAATCGTTCTCTAGATAAACTTGTTGTATATAAATTTTCTTAGATATAACAATGGACAAGAAAAGTTCACTTGCCATTTTGGCAGCGGAAAGAGGATTCCTCATTTCAATCACTATAAAATGATAAGAATCTGTAACATTTAGCTTAGCATTGGTCTGAGATTCGCAAAAAGAAGCTTTGAGACAATTTCAGTTGTTTTACCTCAAACCCTGTCTTGTTAAAACATATAAGAGACCTAGAAAGTTACAAAAAAAATTCAGAGCACAAGAATAGCAATGAGAAATGCCAAATGAATAGTAAAACCAGGGTAGTGGTGTTGATTATGAGTTTTATAAGGAATTAGTTTATGGAAGTCCGATAGATGAAATTAACCAATTCAGTCTATCAACACTCCTAAAGAAACAGGCAATAACCAAAGGTGGATAAAGAAACAAAGAGAAAGCAACTTCTAAAATAGAAAAGAAATATTTGAGAAATCAGCTTGGATTTCTTTGACATATTCAATTCTAAAGGTACATAATCTGCTCTGCAAGTCCTTTTCAGTTTCAAGGTATGACGATATGCAGCCACAAACATTTAAGTGTATGTACAGACATTTCAAGAGAAACTAACGTCTACCCAAAGTAAGATAAGATAACCCCCCCTTCCCGGGCAAAAGATAATAATAATAACACCAGTCCCCTTTATATATAAGAGCAGGGAATTTCGCTGTAATATCACCAAACCCACCCACCAAAAATCTATATGTGAAGTTCATTTTTCGTTTTAATGAACTTTATCTCAAACACAATTTGATAGTTATTGATAACAGAAGCAAAGGGCTTTTTATAGTCTTCTGGCCAATTCTCAAAGCTGCTACATGCGCTAACTCGTTATCAGTTGCTGCGCTGGTTCTTTCACTGATGAGATCCTTTCACCACATTTTTTTGTGTTTCTTAGCAATACTAGTACATCCTTGGTTATGACTAATTTCAGGAAAGATTGCATTACTCTTCTTCTACATTGTATGGTTTCTATTCAAGATGAATCTTCTTTATAGTTTATATGTTGAAATTTGAACAACAATGTTCATACAATTGCATTGATTCCCCCGATATTCTGCATAGCTTTCTGGTTCCTTTTAATGGTAACTCTAATATCTTGAATGCCCAGATTCTGTTATCTATCTTGATCTGTTGGCATAACTACTTCTCTGAAAATACCAGACAGAACATTGCTCCATAACTCTAAGCTCGAAAGATTTTTCTCTATAAAAGTATGCAAACCTCTCCATCGCAATGAATATGGGGTATGTTATTATCCGAGTAATAACTCTTATTTGTGCTTGTTAGTTGGCCAGATGTCATTTTTTGTTATCGTACCACAAGGTTTAAAATACTCTTTAGTCAAATGCTTAAACGCCAGAATATCGCTGGAAGAGAGAGAGAGAGTATCAGATTATATTGCTTTGGAAAGATCAGTCCTTTCAAATCATAGTTAATAACCCATTGCCCCTCAACAGTCTTACTCAAACAGAAATAATAAAAACAGATGGTACGTGAAAGTGGCTAATGACAGGCAAAATTGAAATCCATTTACCTGTTCATAAGGGGGATCCTTGTGTGCTGGTATCAGCCGGGAAACAAAATATCGAGCCTGAGAACTCCCTTCCTGTGGCATACCAAAATTTAAATATCCATTGTTTCGTCATATGAGAATGCATAGTCTTAAAATCAAGAACAAGGATACCTTGAATGCAAGAATCCGAGGAGCTGGAAAGCGCACTTCTGTGAGCTCTTCAGCTAAAGTTCTGCAAGCTGCCAATGCTGCTGCACCTTTACCCTCCTGAGAGTCAAGTTCCGCACCCTGAACACATCCGAAGAAATGAAATGGAATAACATCCAAAAACAAACAAACAAATAATAAATAAATAAGATAAACCCAATTTAAAAAAATCAACAGAACGAAAAGAGAAAATCATAATATTCCTATGTTCAAAGCTACCAAATCAATCCTTTTAATTAAGGAAATCTGACAAGTGATGTATGACCACCAAAATTTGAAATTGGAGAAAGCTGGAAAAAAGAGAAAATCTCTACACTGTACTTCATTCTAAGTAGCATCCAGAATGAATCTAAAGCAGCTAAAGGAAAAAAACGGAGTAGATGGCAAGCCATCATCCTCGCACAATGACAGCAAATACGTAAAAAATGAAAAGGAAGCACAGACATGAAGATATATATAAAAGTCAATACCAGGTGCATTCGACTTCTACTTGAAAGTTGATCCCACCCAAAGATTTCACATATCAGGTTTGTAAATTTGAGATCGAGAGGGGGGCATGATTATTATTTGGATGCACTAAGAAATGTCTAGATTCTACCGAGCATTTGTAATGGTTAATAATTCAAGGAAAAACAGAGAATAATTTATTATACTATCACCTATGAGAATTGTTATATCGTCCACCCTTTTTCGTTATTCTTAATTATGTATTACAACTCCCAGGGCCGGCAATCTTGAAGGTTCTTCAGATTATTGCACAGCGGCACATTCCCGTTCATAGTTTACCCTTATTTACATTTTTACTTCCCAAAATGTGAGTCCGTCATATTCTAGATCAAATCACTGGTGCGCACCCTCTGTAATATTTACTCGCGCGCCAACTTAGTGCTTCTAATGAGTTCTAATATATCAATAAAAGCCATCCGTTACTTAACAAAAGAGAGCCGGATAACAACAAAATAGAAAGTAATATTAGGACGTAATCAAGCATGAAGATACATGAGCTGAAGAAGGAAAAAAAACAAGCAAAAGAGAAAAACTAAAGGATCTAATTTTTGATAAAGAAAAACTAAAGGATCTACTAGAAATGCTAAATGCAAGTACTTAAATGGCACTTAAAAGAAAGAGATAAGTTGCATACCAACCAAATGAAGACATCAGTGCCATGATCAAGAACAACTGCTGCATCAGATTGCATAGCAAGGTCATAAGCAGGTAGTTCCTCAAAGGTGCCACCTTGTCTATGCATCAGACAGCGAGGAGCCACCATTCGGAGGGACAAATCAAACCCTGCATTCAGAAACAAGTTTCGCAACACAGATCTCTCATCTTCATGACCAAGAATGCTTCCCAGAAGTGGCCCTCTTCTAAGATGGAATAAGAGTTCTGGTAACACAGAGAGCTCCCTAGGAAACCGATAGAGTTTTGATTTGGGCATTTGAGAACCAAACTTGCTTGTGATATCTTTGATTCTTTCATCAACCGTGACTCGCATATCAAGTGCATCATTGGCATACTTGGCTCTTAAAAGTGTCCTCTTGGAAATAAGAACAGCAGCCACTTCATCTTGAACACTCTCAAGATATGATGAAACACTGTCCACAGTAGGCAATCTAACAGTGATGACTCTCGTGATATCTGATTGGTAGACATCAGAAAACTTAAAGGCAAACTGGAAATACACAAAATCGCGCTTAATGTCTCTTTTGGTTTCCATGGATAATGCAAAACACTGTGTTTCTTCGACGCTTAGCATTTGTATGACAAGAGCATCGTCGTTTTTAAAAGTTCCGTTGCTGTCCACATGCGCCTCTTCGCCGGGGCCTATAACTTGACTAACAAAAATATCCTCAGAACAGCGGACCTCCAGTAAACCATGTGAACCTGCAGCTCTCCCAGATGCTCTCTGCAAGTTCACACCAAAAGCCTCTCCAAAGTCATCGTGGAGAATAAGTACACCCCCAGAGGCTTTTGCAAGAGGCTGCAGGACAGGCACTCTTACCGGACATGTGCCTGCACATAATATATCGATAACTGTGTTCTTCCTAAACGCCTCACGACCTAGGGTTTCCATCCACTTCAATGCAATTTTCTCCATATGAGCATAGTTAGGATGAGAGAAAGAATACGGAACCGAACCAGGGCCACATGTATTTGGTCCACCAGCACAAACAATAATTCTGCTGTTTCCGCCGGACCTTTTAACAACACCCTGTGACATTTCTGCTGATGGACCTTGAATAATTGCCGAAGCAACTTCAACTGCTGTACCCAGGCAACGGTCTCTAGAAGCTTCTGCAATATCAAGTTTGTATGGCCTAAATGATGAGAATATTGAGTGTGCGACAGGGAGAGATGCGTGCATAGGAGACAAGTATATCCCGGTCCCATAAATCAATGCTTTCAAGGACTCCTGATCCGGTGATTTGTTACCAGGAAATACATCAGCTGATGCCACAGATTCTTCTGAAAAATCATAAACTGAAACGGTGCTGCCATACGTGACAATCCCGAGTCTTGTAGTTGGAGGCAATGAATCCACAAAAGCGTGCAAAGAACTCTGAAGATGCTGGAGATGAGGTTCATCTAAACACTCATCTATTACAAGAACAACTGGTGCTGAAACTCTGGAATCAGACACTGGGAAAAAACCAGGCCTCTTATTCCCTGTCTGGACATAATCAACTGAAGGTAATGATAGTTCCGGCACATTGCGAAGTTCTTCCTTGCTGGAAGCTACATAGTCCCCTTCACTTCCGTTGAGATCACGACATATTACACACTGCCACTGCCCTGAGCCAGGTAAAATGTTGCTATAATGATTTGCATATGCTCCACAATTATGGCAACGATGGGGATCACGTTGTATCATTTGAGGACCAGGTGACATCTCCCTTCCGGAGGAAACTAATGCCCCAAAGCCTAGACTTGGAATATTTGCAAGTTTTTTCTGCTTCAACACCTTCAGAAGACAAGAAAATCATCAGTAAGAATAAATGGCTAAATGTAAACAGCAACAGACAGTGACTTCAAAAAATGACCTGTAACCGCACGGCTCATAGTGAAATGAATTACTATCAGATTTATAAGGATAAAACACTACAGCAGAAATAAGTTTCTTTACCTTGTGAGCTGAGAAGAGAACGTTTGGAGATTCCGTAGCAGGTGTCCAATCTTCAGTAGCATCAGAACTCTGGTGATGCAGATCAACAGAGCCATTCGAGAACTGGGGAGGTGATGACGTGGGGAGAGACGAAGCAGAGGAATAGGCAACAGGCTGCGGGGTGGCTGGAGAAGTTCTGAACGGAACAGCAGCAGGTTGGAGCGGTGACGAAAACACAGGAGGACCAGGTGGGGTACTCAAATGAGGAGCAGGGCTTCCAGTTCTAACTCCATTAGCAGGTGATGGTAAATTAGGTGTCTTAATGGACGGAGAAGGAATCTGGTTTGGTTGTACAATTGGTGGTGGAGGAAATATAGGACCTGTTGTTGTTGTTGGGAATGGGGGAGGACTAAAAATTGGTGACTGAACAGTGCCTTGCTGAGGAGGTGGTATAGTGGCAGAGTATCCAACCGATGATTCGGGTCGTTTCGCCATCAAAATGGCATCAAAAGAAAACCCTTTTGCACGGATTTTAAACAAGGTAAGAATCTAGAGGATTTAAAGAAACCAAAACCCTCCACAGTCACATCCAAGATCTCCTCGGAGACTCTAGGTCCAAGAAAAATTGGAAATAAATGTCAGTAAAATCTACAAGAACCCCACAATTAAAAAAATAAAAATGAGGATAACATCTTAAAACCACAGAAGTTATACGTATAATGCAATATATTCAAGAATTCAGTTGATCATAACATGCACCTAAAGTAACAGTAAAGATGCCAATTTTACCAGAATTTACCGCACATCCAAGTTGGAATTTACCCAGATGAGGTCTTTTCTCCAGGATGGTAAATCTATCTAATAAAGAAAAAAAACAGAATTATGGAGCCGGACCAGATTGGTAAAAGGGGACAGTCTCGAAAATTTCGGGGGCAATTACATTTTTAGTAGATAAATTGACATACCTGATTTCCAATTGATGCTGGTATTTGGTATCAAGAAACTGAAGATTAATTTTTGGAGAGTTCCCCAGAGACGGGGAAAGTAACCGGCAGCTGCTATCTCTCTGTGAGCACTTGTTTCCCTAGGGAGAATTAAACATGGCGCGTCAATGGGTGCGCGTGGGATATTGATTGAGGATTTAAGCAATTTAATGTATATGTCCACGGTGGCAGTAAGGCTTGTTACAATTGGCTGAAGATACGAAGACATCACACGTGGCCGCTGCTTCTCTGCCATGGCGCACCGCAGAAAGAGTAATCTTTTCTTTTTCTTTCTTTTGGAAAGTCTCAATGTAACATTCCTCGTATCAAGTTAGATTACCCATTAATAGCTGTTATCTATTTATACTAATAATAACTAATTTTAGGATACGCATGTACCAAATATCAATGCATAAAACTATAAAAAATATAAGCCCTTAAAAATAAAATTTTAAAAAATATAAACACTTGAAAATGACGAATATTAATCTTATCTATATACTATATTAAAAGCACGAATACCCTTAGAGGAGAGTGGCGTCATAGTTTTCTCCGGAACATTTGATTTGGTTACTGTTATAATTCTCCCACGAAGATTCCGATTCAGACTCCGGTCAATTCTCACCGGTAAATCCCTCAAACACCGGCGAATTTCAGATTTCGGAGAAGAGAGGCAGAAAAAGTTTAGGGTTCTTTCCATTTTGGTTCATTTTCAGATTTCTTGGTTGGTCTAAAATCCACAAAAAACACAAATATATTCGAATTTTCTTCTTTCTATTTGAACAAGAAATACATAGAGTATTGTTGTAATCTACTTTTTGACAATTTCGTCAATTCATTTTTTTGTTTTTTATTCATCTTGTATTCGAAATTTTCCTGCCCTTCTTGTTCCCTTGCCCTGCTTCTTCAAGAACATTATGTTCTTGGTCTCTACTCTTTCCATTTCCTCCGTAACCTAGCTTTTGGTACAAAGATTAAAACTTTAGCCCTTTTAGCCAGCTCATCGCAATCCATCACCGCCAGCCAGATTTCCGTTAACTTCGAGGCCTGCATTCCAGGTTCTATTGTTCATCTCTTGTATTGATATTTTAATAGTTTGATATTTTAGCGTAATTGTATCTCTTTGCCTGTCTGCTTGTTTATATTGTTATCTACCTGTTTACATCTTTATTTTGAATCTTTGTTTCATATATCTCCTAGTAGTTCTGCTCCAGCTTGCACATTTTATTTTTGATCTTTAGTTGTAGATTATAGTCCCCTTTAGCTCTTCTATTGTATTTCTTTGCCTATTTTTTTGTCCTTTAGTTGTAGATTATAGTTCCTTTAGTTCCTTTGTTTTATTTCTTCACTTATTTTTCTGACCTTTAGTTGTAGATTATAGTACCTGTTAGTTCTTTCATTTTATTTTTTCACCTGTTTTGCGACCTTTAGTGGTAGATTATATTTCGGTAATTTATTTTATTTTTGTCACTTATTTTTGGGATAGTGCTTGTGAACACGTAATTTTTGCCCTACGAAAATGTTCCTACAAAATACACAAAAAATATTTTTTTCTAATTATTTTTTATTTTTATAGAATTTTAGGAATTTCTTTTTTAATTGTTTGTTTGCATTTAGTTATATTTTTTGTGCATATTTAATATCTTAAAATCATAGAAAGTACCATAAAAATGTTCAATTCTTCGTCTCATAGCATTTTAGATCTTAATTTCATGTAGGTTTTAATTACATTAATTAAATGCATTTATCAAACGAAAATCACAAAAATACAATGGTCATGTCTTTATTTTTAGATTTTTAGTTTTAAATTAATAATTTCCTTTCATTAGTGTTAAGTTGATTAATTAATTAAATGTTAGAAAATAGATAAGCAGATTTAATTTTGCAAATTAGATTTGAGTTAGGATTTAATTTAGGATTTTAATTAATTTGATTAGAGTTTAAAAGCAAAATAAGAAGGAAGTAGGCTATTGGGTCTTTAATGTCGTTTGGGCCATTTAATTTGAGGCCCAAAATCCAAATCTGCCCGCCCCAGTTCACTTCACTCGGTCCACACCCCCTATAACCAAACGACAACGTTTTAGTAACGCCCCATCTCAACCGTTTATCTTCCATCATCCGACTGCTAGGAACTGAACCCCCAAACCCTGAGAACTCCTTCCATTTCTCTCATCTCTCTCACTCTTCAACCCTAGCCGCCCTAAATACCCAAAATCCCTCACCGGCGGACAGTCTCCAAACGATCCCAAATCGTCACCACACAACCTTCTTCTCCTCCTCATTCCTAATCCCCAAACCACTTCCTTCAAAAATCCTTTCAACTTCGCGGATTTTAGATCTAAGAAGTTAAGAAAACCTAGCTTTCCTTTTTTTGATTTTTCTTCTAAGTTCGAGCCGTCTTACGTTATAACCCGCATCAATGGACTGATTGTGTTAAGAGTTACCAAAAGATGTTGGTTTCATATCGTTTGATGACTATCGGATTTGGCCATTCAACCTCCTTGTCGGCCATGGTCATTATCTCTCCGTGTAGCATTGGTTCTGCCTTTCAAGCATGAATCAGTGCTCGCACAATGATATCGACCATTGGTCGGATTCTTAAGCTTGTTCGTGTTTGTCAGTGGGTAATTTTTCTTTTTTGATCCTTCATGTTCTTCATTTTAGCCGTCTGATTTACTGTTTTTAATTAGTGTTTTGTGTGTTTTGATTGCATTTAGCAGTTTAAGAGCAGTAGCTTGTTAGATTAACTAAGATTTCGATTATGTTAGTCTTAATTATGTTGTGTTAAAGTATGTTAAGTGTTGGTTAATTGGTAGTTGTTTATCAATGTGATGTCGTATTAATTAAGTGTTGTCACTAATGCCATTTAGTCCTAAATCTTGAGATTAAAATTAAATTAGTTGTTAGTTTTGATCAGGGCGTTTAGGGATTTAAAAATTAGCACAATCTTTCTTGTTAATAGCTTGAATGTTCTAGAATAGAGATAAGGGATCAAAATCTAATAAGATAAATAGTTTAGGTCAAATCTGGGGTCAAAAATTTGAGGGGGCTAAAGGGCACTGAAAAATAGGAAATTTTGTTTAGTTGTTTAGGAAGCTTCTGGAGAAGAGTTAAAGTGCAATAAAAATCAGAGAATTAGGTTAGAAATTGGGGTAAAAAGGTTAATTTCAGAAGTAGAAAAGGTGCTGAAAAATAGAGAAAATGACAGTTGTTAGAAAAGAGGACAATAGTCCAAATTTGTTAAGAAAAAATACCCTTTTTCCTTATTTTTAGGGACTTTACTCCTCAGATTATTCTCTCATCTTCTATATAAGAACTCACATTCCCTCACTCACACACAGACGAATTCACTGCAATTTTCAGAAAATCCCTTCCCTTCACCTTCATTTCAAAAAGAGAAGTACATCCTAAAAACTTCCGAAAAAGAACAAAAAAAAGAAGAGGAGCTTCTCAATTGGCTTCATTTTCTGCTATTTGGTTTTCACTTTTCTGGGTTCTTTTGGAGTTTGATTTAGCATCATTTCTTGTTGTTTCTGCTGCTGCTATTTTGATATTGCTGTTGATTCATTCCAATTTCAAAGACTTATTTTCTATTTTTGTTGATCGTGCCATAATCAAGTACTACTTTTGATTTGAATAGTGTATACATTACACTTGAATGAGGACTATGTGAATCTGCCTTTGTTTTAAATCTGTTTCAAGTCCTACAAATTTGCTTAAAGGTTGTAATGTTGTCTTGGTATGCCTTTATTTTAACTTTGTTTCAAGTCCTACAAATTTGCTTAAATATTGTAATGTTGTCTTGGTATGCCTTTATTTTAACTTTGTTTCAAGTCCTACAAATTTGCTTAAATATTGTAATGTTGTCTTAGTATGTGTTTAAAGTCATCAATCAGACATGTTATCCTCTATTTTCTTTCTTGTCTAAAAATGTGATTGTATCTACACTCATTTTTGTGACATAAGAAGCATGCACACGAAATGGAGTTTCAGGATTGATCACAGGATGCTGTTAAACTGTCATATGCAGATTTGAAAATCTTTGGAAAATTTGTTTATTCAAACGTAGAACTGATGTTTTTTTCCTATTCTGGGTTCAAATTGTATAAATGATATCAAAAGAATTGATTGTTGCCAGCTTGGAGTTTATGTATTCATAAATTGATGATATGACCTTGAATGTAGATAATATGAATTCATGCTTAGATTTGGTTTAATTATCTTTCTTTCCAATCGTGTACAAAAGTCATTAGTTTGGGATTACCGTACTGTTGTTTTTTAAAGGTCATTGGGCCTGTTAATTGGCCTAACAAGGCTGCATGCCCAATTTGAGGCCTAATGGTTTCCACACTGTATTATCATTTGGGCTCAATTATAGGCCCACAAATGTTTACAACAGACCTGGTTGAGGTCTGAACGTGAGTATTTCCTCATGTATAACTCACGATACCTGAAACCAACTCCTAACCATCTTGGTAATTAAGTAAGTCCATCAGAAGCATTTATCAACTCCTAAAATCAGCAGTTTCATGTCAATTAATCCCTAGTCAAAGATTCATAATTAATTAATCCTTCCATTAATTCATGGGCCACCAGTTTATGATGTGAAATAATTGTCTAAATAGTAGAACAATTTCGTAAGCAACAAAGGCATTTGAACTCCTACTATCTAATTCCATGAGCTCTTGACCTTCACATAAAATCCCAAAACATAGGAAAACAAATTGATGAACACTCCTAGTTTGCTTTAAACGCGATATAATAATTAATTATCATGGTTCTGGGTACGGTTCCCGTGGCATAATTGTGATACGTAAATCCAATTCGAGTGTGCGTTTCATGCAACTTGACCATAACTTCAAATAATAATAAAAATAAACATGTTGTAAATCGCGGGTGCGTTTCATGTGACACGATTCGCAATGTGTATTAAAACAATAAGTGTGTGACATCAAGACTTATTTAATTAAATTTCATAAATATTAAAAGCGGTTAGAAAGTAAAAATGCACAATATGTTTTAAACATGTAATAAATCAGATAATTATCCAATTATTAATAGTTGAGCGACCGTGCTAAAACCACGGAACTCGGGAGTACCTCACACCTTCTCCCGGGTTAACTGAATTCTGTACCCGGT